CAACTTTATCATCTGCTCTCCCTCCCCATTGTAATTCTAACAGCAACATCTGGCTTTTGCCAGTCTTTGCCGTGGGAAACCTCACACAGCGCACAAAGCACCTGCTAAAAAAAAATATGCAAGGCACTTTTTCAGTCAGTGCATTAAAGATTTCCAGTCTGCGATTGTACCAGAAGATCTCTCCGCCATGATCACGAAAATTTAGTCTAAAACACACGTGCGTAATGGCTGTGGTCCCAAGTCCTGCAGTTTCGACAGCATATGTGCTCATGACACAACTCACCGGATCTCACAAGCTAAACAATGTTGGCGTGGAACTGTGAGAGCATTCAAAACACAAAATAAGTCAAAATGTGCAAAGCAACCCTGACTCCTGGAGTGCTGGCCAAAGGGAGCTGATAAAAAGCATCTAAATAGTTTTGCAAAATGCAATGCGTTGAAATCGCTTCAAGGAGGAGAAGCATGCGGCCGGCTGAGCAGCGATGCAAGGGCAGGCGAGGAACCGCTGGTTAACGTCTTCGCCGGTGCTTAGGACAGTTGGGATGAGTTTGTGTGAGGAGCAGAGCACCACAGCTCTGCGCCCGTGTGGGAGCACCCTGGGTCTCTTCTCTCCTCCCACCGTGCAGAAATTGGGGCATCGTGAGCAGGGCCCGGCCGGAGGGCTACACTGTAGCCGAAACGGTACCCAAACAAGCCAGGCAACCTCCACCTTCCCCGCTACGCCGTGCCCGCCCGGTCTCTCCTGTATGCAGCAGATGAATGCCTCATTACCAGATTCCTCCGCTTGCTTCCCGGTAGACTTAAATTACCATGTTAAATAGGATAATAATAAACACTGGCCTTTAACTACAGCACCTCCTTGTTCGCTCAGCAGCCTCCCTCTAATCTGATAAAGGGTCTGCAACAGGCTACAAGGCAACCCGGCGTCAGTTGTCACACGGGTGCCTGTCCCCGGCTTCCCGCAGCGCGATTCCTGCGGTAGCACGTCAGGCTGACACAGCTGGCTCGGGGGACCCTGACCCCCGCAAGAACTAACGGGTATCAGAACAGGGGTAGGTACCAAAAGGACGTTGTGGATCTGGCCCAAGACTCTTCTGCCACACTTCAGAGGGCAAAAAGCAGCCCCGGGCCATCTGCTTGCTTCAGCACTCGGACTCAGAATGAAAAGCAGCCAAGGAAATCTTTCTGGCTTAGGAGAACGGTGGGGAAGAAGAGAGATCTGGGCGGCAGCGTACATCGCCTTCGCACAGTTTGCTGCATTTGAGGTATTACAGAAGCTCTCCTTAACAACTACTCTGGGAAAAAAGTCATCTATCCACCCAGAACAAATTATATAAAGGGAGCAAGCTGGACTGGGAACAGAGAGGGCTGATCCGCCTAGACTTTGAATCCCCTTAGCCCCCAGAAGCTGAAAGTGTCATTTATTTCAGTGTTACAGGATTTCCTGTCTTTTGGGGTTTTTTTTTGTATTTAGTTTACCTAATCCCCTGGATTTCTCTTGTTGCAGTAAGAGGAAAAAGCCTTACAAAACAACAGGGGATAAACACAAAGTCAAATTGCTTTGCTGAGCTCTTTCACACATCCAGAAGCAACGGGGGAACTGCAAACTCTGGAAAGCACGCGGAGTTTCCTACTGACGGGGGATATTCCAACCACCACCCAACGAAACACAGCCGCTCCTGAGCTTCCCCATTAATAAAGCCGAGCTTCAACACTCGCACTAGCAGCAATACAGCTGTGGAAGTAAGAAGATTTTCCTCTAGTTTTCCAAAGCAAGTAAAAGTTGGCTTTCTACCTGTCTTCCTCCTCTTCCTCCAGCTTCAGCTTTGCAGAGCTGGCAAGCAATACAGAAAAGGAGGAAAGGCACGAACTAGGCCGTCTGTCGTTGGAGGGTATGAAAGACAGTCTTAATAACAGCAGGAGAGAGAGAAGCAGCCTATGGTTATTTTTGACAGAACCGGGAGAGACTCAGATTGCAGCTTCATAAACAGCTCATCAGAGAAAAAAATTCTGCCCAAACTGGAGAAGCCCCTTCGGCCAAGCTAACGGAAATATGCAGCCCTTGTCTGGTAAGAGAGAACCCTTTGGAAAATCAAAATGCCTTTTCTTCACAGAACAAAACCAAACCGCCACCCCACCAACCCCCTCCCCCCTGCATAATGTAGTAACATTAACTTGCAATTCTGTCGTTACAACTCATGGCTTGCAGAATATTCAGAGAAAATTTCTGGCTGATACCACAGCCATGACTATGCAATGAAATGAAAAATGGACTTTTTCCAGCATCACCCGGCCACAAGGTCCCCTTGATGCCCTGTTCTGCAGAACTGGAGGTGATGCACAGAGGCAGTGGGCAGGAAAATGCCTGGCATTACCTCAATCCACCCAGCTCAAATAAAATAAAAATGGTTGTTTCGTGTGGGTGTTTACACAGAAGGAGAGCACGGAATTCAACTCCATCCCCGAACAAAAAAATCAAAGCTCAGCTTCGTTATTAAGTGCCAATTAGACAGCACAGCTGAAGTATTCCTCATGCATCGCGATGACAAGAAGACTATCAGATGTTTTTCAGGGCAAGTTTGTTTGTTTCTAATGTTCTTAACAATCTCTCACACAGAATCCTTTGTGCTACTGGATTAAGAAAATAAAGATCTTTCCTAACCAAGAGACAGCCACGAGAAACTCCAGAGGTTTCTATATCTAGCGTCCTTGCTGGCAGACTCAGCCAGGAGGAAGGGCAGAGCCGGAATGGAGATATGCTCCTCCAAAGCTTCCAAGGGAAAAGCTGACCACCGGAGAGGCTTGCTGCCGTGTCAGGGAAATACAAGTCTGAAGGTTATTCTGTCTGTCTTGAGGATTAATTTCTTTTACTCATTAAAACATATAATGCCTGTGGTGACATAAAGCATCACCTCTGCATGGCTGAAAAGAGTCCGAGCAATAAAAAAAACCCCAAACCAACCACCTTTCAAAAAGAATATTGAATATTGGGACTACAAGCCTTCAGAATTAGTATACAACGATTTGCATGACCTGCGCTTAGTCCTTCTGCCTGCCAGCTGCCTGACACACAGGTACAGTATAATGGAAAACACTACAGAAACGGGAATCAATGGCTTGCTTCTGTCTAACCACGGTATCATTCTCACTTCATTTACTGCTTAGTGGGAAGGCATTTCTGTGGCCCGGGAATCAGCTCTTTCTAAACGGACGAGTCTCAAAGTTCAGCATTTTAGTGGTTTAACCTAAGTAGGAGTTTGCTCATCCATAGCAGCCTGGACTGCAGAAAATCCAGTTGCTTGACCTCTTAATGCTGTCTTCTATCCAGCATGACAAGAAAAAGACACTTGGTGAGGGCTCTGCGCTAACGTAGCAGGGGGCTACACGCTACGATACATCAACCCTGGGGAATGGGGGGAGCTGGAAGCAGAACTACACCTAAACCCTCTAACCAAAAATACTTTCAGCTTCTGAAGGGAAAG